GGAGAAAAGGTGGCTCTCGGGCGTTCAAAAGCCTGAGACTTGTCTAATTTCATGCTGTGCCCCTGCTTTTGGGGACGTCGTTCCGCTGGAGTAGGTAGGCGATTACAAGAGAGAAACCCGTCAAGAGAAGGGAAGTTTCAATAAGCCTTCTCCTTGCAAGTGAGAACAGCTTCAGCCCCTGAAGGTGTTCGGCAAACGTCGCGCTCTGAAGGTGCGGAAACATGCGCGTGAACCTTCGCTGTACCCTCTCCAGAACCTCCTGATCCTTCTTCAGAGCTGAGGACCAAGCTTGTACACATTACTCCAGGTGTGGCCGAACGAAGGCCTCGTAGAGCGGGACTAATACGACAGGGTCCCCGGACTTCACGCTTCAACCTTAACAATGCTTTATTGGCTGTACGTGCCGCAGCAAGACACTGTGCAGTGGAGTTAAAAGCGGAGTCCAGAGTTCAGAGTGACCCCTAGGTCCCCGATTTCTGGCACTTCTGCCATAGCCTCCCCGTCCCTAGCTCCCATGTAGCGTGTCCCAGCCCTCTGAACTTTCCCGGCTCGCAAACATTGCAATTCGCTGCATTTAAAGGGAGACCCCACTCTGCAGACCATGCTAGCACTGCATCTAGATCAAGCTGGAGGTCTACACCCTGGGGCGAGCCAAGGATTTTGACATCATCTGCAAAGATATACGTTGGGTTTGATAGACGGGAGACTAGGTCGTTGACGAAGACAAGAAACAACAATGGTACAAGGAGCGAGCCTTGTGGGACCTCGCTATAAGCGTGCCCGCAGTCCGACCAATATCCCTCNTCCCTCCACCATTACGCGAAAGGTTCGCCCGGTCAAGTAGCTCTCAGTCCACCTGACTAACCTAGGGTGGATCACCATCGATACTAGTTTGTCGAGCAGCAGCCGATGATTTACGGAGTCAAAGGCTTTAGTGAAGTCTAGATAGCAGACTTCGACTCCCACCCCCTGTCCAGCCGTTTAGTCACAACGTTCAGGAAGGTTAGCAGAAGGCAAGATCGACTTTTACGTAACCCGTGCTGAGCCTTTGCCAGCAGGCCGCACTGGTTGAGGCAGCTGACCATCTTATCCTCGATTAATCTCTTCATGACCTTCAGGATCACGGAGAGTAATCTGACTCGTCTATAGTTGGTGGTCAGCCCCCTGTCGCCCCATTGTGAATGGGGGGATCACAGTAACTACTTTCCAGTCCTGTGGCAATGTGGTTGTCGCTATGGCCTGATTATAGAGATGAGCTGAGGGGGCTGCCAGGTGACTGTAGTGGCGTGGTATCGCAATTATTAGGTTTTGTAAAGGCGTGATGTCTAACTTCGTTGAAATTGAACATATTTGCTTTTAGTTAAATTGGAGTCATTTGTTCAAATTTAATTGGTTTTGACTGAATTTGTCCGAAAAGTATAAATACCGCAACCCAATGGCGAAGATCACTTCCACGTACATACCAACCATGGCTCACGTCGGTGATTCGGTATTTGTTGAACGAATGGTAAAAATTCCTACGGAACTTTGGACGGATTCTTGGAGGACTTCCGTGAATTCCAAAGAGTTGCCTGCACACCCCTCTACGTTTATGCATCAATGACAGCCAAACAGCTGATACGAGAAAGAATTTTTGGTCGAAAATTGACCCTTCATGAGGGATTTCCATACTGTTTCATCAAATAATGCGGTGTACATCATGACAGGCATGGCGCATTTGCAACCAGATGAATATGACTCTCATTTCCAATGTATGTAATCCTTTTTATGATGCAAAATATCGACTGTTCGGCATTCGTTGGAATTCGGGTGGTTGGAGGAAGTACCGAATGATGAAGCGTTGTCTGGTGCACAACCATGACTTCCATGTGGATCAGCGGGGTTTGTTTATAAGTAACATTCGTCTATCTGGAGAAAAGAAGAGGATGCGTGTAGTTTAGTGGAAACCTTTGGAATGCTCGCCAGCTAAGGGATTTCACCACACACAGATTGAAGAGACCCTTAACTACGGCGGATGTTAGATCCATACGTCGAAGATCTCAATTGGATTCACGTGACGATGCGGTGAAAGTTCGGGAAATGCTGGAGAATCAGGGAGAGGTTAGGATAATGCTGAAAGAGGGTATCGTTGGTCACATTTAGTTTGTTCTTAAGATTATGCCGCAATCCATTGCCAGGTTTAATGATGTTTCGTTAGCGGACGCCATGCACCAGCTAAACTGCGGCGGGTACGTGCTTTGACATGCTATGCTTGTAGACGACACCGATTTAGCTAGAAGTTTCTTCCATGTTATCTTACCGAATGAGAGCAATGAGAGCTATAAATCTGGCGTGGGAGCCATGAGCACTATGTGCCCAGCATTTGCACAATGCAAGACTATAGTAGTTGATCAGAGTTCGGCTCACCATAACGCGTTTTTAGAATATCTTCCTCCCTCTAATGTGGTATTTTGTCGTTTCCATCTAGTTAAAGATATGAAAAAAATGTAACCAGATATCTGATATGCCAACTTTCGAGAAGCAGTGCGTCTTTCAATGGATGAGGAATATGGTGTACTGTAATAGTGAGGTATAGTTTCGTAGATTCCTAGCCGCTGTAGAATGTCGTAGCACGGAAGCAAGCGTTTATTTACGCCGAACCTGATAATTTTACCGAGAGCAGTGGGTGAGGTATGCTGTGTGGATTAGGTTGACTTTAGGAAACCTAACTACCAACTAAGTGGAGAAGGAAAATAGGTATCTCAAGACAGGCTGGTTTCCTCGATCTACATTATTGGATGTATTTAAGGAAGTGATACAATGAGCAAAGTCACTGAAAGTGACGCATGGAATTCGCCTTGCTTCCCATGAGGGGGTATCTGATCCCCAAACACGATGCAATCGTTTAAACCGTTCCTCATACAATTGAGCCATTTGCGCGAAATATGTTATTAAGTAACTGGAATTCATATAAGATTGAATGAATCGTTCACAAGAAGGGGTTCTCTTTGGTATTGGACAGAAAGGGCAAGGGTCACACAGTAATTACCGCAGAGGAAACGAAATGTGAATGTTATTTCTATCCTCGATGGTTATTGCCCTGTTTGCATATTGTGAATCTCGAATAGATCAACGAGCAATGCGTAGCCGAAATTGGATCCCAAAACGTCAATGTAACGAACGATCCAGAAAGTTTCCACGGTACAGCATTAATAAACGATCAAATAAGAAAATAAAATCTGTATAAACCTCAAAGTGATCTCGGAACAACTTGAAAACAAAAGCCGAGTGTTACTGTGAGCGTAGTCGTCGATGTAGAAGTTATTCACAACACTAGCTGACACCGAAGCAATGAAGTTGTTTCCATACTGTGAGGCCGTCCGTCGGAGTGCGTAGTTTGCACAGAAGGGCGAGAAAACCGCTCCGAATGTATAAACTTTCAGGTGATAGTCTACTGCCGAGATCTGTACGTCACATTCAGGCCACCATAGTAGTCGCAGGGCGTCGCGTTGATAGTATAATATCTTAACTTGGAGGAACATTCCTGTAGGTCGGCTGCCAATGTAACTGCCCCCCAGCCGGAATCTGTTGAGTACGTCGATCGAAAAAGTGTTTCAATCTGGTTCCTGCAATATGAAGTCATTAGGAGAGAGGCCGCCGTATCGCGCCGCACAGTCAAATACCAAGCGTATCTCCCCTAGCTTTCTAGGGTTGGTTACCGGGTGATGTGGCAAATACCTTCAGTCGTTCTTCGCATGGTCATGACACGTCCACTCGTTTTACATATACCAGCTGCTCGTTCCGTTACATCGCTGCGGCGTACTTCCGACATAACTCTGCGTCCCAAACCAGTCATCTTTTAAGGTACTACAACCCTTTTAGGGCTATCCCGTGGTTGTTCGGCAATCGGACGTATCTCGTCCTCCATAGTAAAGGCAACTCGAACTTGTCAGGCTGACAGTGTGTCTTGGTTTCGACTATAGCTAATGCCCGGTTTTCTTATACAGAGGGGCCCCTTCTGGTTGCTCAAATCGGTAAACTCATTGTAGTACATCCGTTGTAGGGTTTACTCGATCGTATCATCGCCAGCGGTGGTTGTGGTGAAGTTAATTGACAATGGTTTGCGGTTGGCCGGAAGGGGCACTCCAAATAATGTCCACTCGAAAACTGTGCGGGTGGCGTAGGGTTCTTTCCTGCTGCTCTGTCTCTGGTCAAGCACTCAGTGTGCTTGTGGAATGTCACATCTTATCAGCAAATTGACTTCGGGAGAGTTGGCCTCTTTAAGATGTCAGTCTCTTATGTGTGGCCAGCGCGTTGCTAATTCCCCGATCGATTCCACTGCTGACATCGGTAAGTCGGCGGTGGTGAAAGCCTCCATCACCTTTACACGCTCACCACCATCTAGCGACACCAATGTCACGCTCGTTTGATCGTCAGAAGTAGCCTTGGTACCGTTCACCGTGCTGATCTTCAGGGAAGCTGATCGGGTTGCGATATAGTTCTTCACGGCAAAGCGCTTAGTGATTAAATTGGCATCGCATCCATTGTCAATATATGCCATCGCCTTTACTAACCCCCTAGGAGTTAGTATGCCGACTGGTGTTACCCCGAGAAGCACCTGCTTGACCGTTGATTGCGATAGTAGACACGCTTGGTTTTGGGGATGCCAGGGACTGCGTCTCTCGTACAGAATGCAGAAGAGTATGGTGGCTTCCTTGACACCTCTTTTCATCAAATCTGCTTATATTTTTACAAATATCCACGAGATGTGAGCCGCTCAAACAGATGAAGCACGTGCCATGCCTCTTGGCTGATTCCCAACGGTCAGGCTCATCCAGTTGTACAAATTTCCCACATGCGGGTAGCTCGTGACTCGACAGACACAGACGCACAGACAGGCATTTAGGTGCGCCACGTTTCCCCAACGTTTCACAGTTGTTTGCATTCCTAGAGCTTCTCGAGATATCACAGGCTCGTTCCTTGGGATTGTGTCTCTCTTCTCGCCTACTCATGCTAGAGAGTTATCCAAAGCGACTACTGGAGACCTTGGCACCGTTACGGATGAATTCCGTCAGCTCGGTGAAATTCGGTTCCCTCTTTAAACGAACGATTATCACCGCCTCCTTCATTTTAGTCAGGGTAATGAAAAAGTTTTGCATCTTCGTTACCAGTCGAACCAACGAATCGGGTTCGTTTCTCGCTTTATGAGTTTCGGCCAGCACCCCGTCCATGAGTGTCCCTGCCGCGTGGAACGGCAGACCAAACAGTTCCTTAAAGATGTCCTTTGCTCGGCTATATCCCAGTTCGTTCGGTAGGATTACACATTCTTCAATAGTATCCCGAGCCTTCCCGCGGCAGCAATGCTTTGGGTACAGGAGTTTCTGCCCTGGATCGGCGATTCGATACTCGACGAAATTATCAAATTTTCTAATGAATCTCTGATAACTACTGGGGTTCCCGTCGAATGGCGTTAGCTCCACCATCTTCTCTCTGTGGGTAAGTTTGTTGACAGCATTACAACGGAAGTTTATAACCGTCT